TTTTTTTTTTTTTTTTTTATTTCCTGTCTAAATATTTCCAACGTGTCACTCGTTTGTGGTTCCTTGCATGCATCCGCAGGCTCGATTATTATCTCATAATGGTGTCTCTGTGTGTGTGGATTTCCCGTCTGGGAGATAGATGCATGCACCATTTGCAGGAGGACCCAGACCCTTACTTCACTTACATCATCATCATTCTTTTTCTGTTTTACCCCCTTGCTGTTGGCTACTATTCTAGTCAACGGTGTATCATGTAGATACCCTTCTTATTCTATTCACTTCTTAATTGGACATGTCTAATAGTATATATGCTTATCTTTTCTATTCCATTTTCATCCTTCAGATTACAAAACAACCTGTTCTTAGATACATAGATGCATGCATACATGCATAATACATAATCCCACTAGTTCTAACCCTCTTAAGATAGTAAACTCTCCCCTCCACACATAATCAACCAGTAGATAGATAGATAGATAGATAGATATACAGAAGTAATCAATGAATCCTCCACTCCAAAACATCCCTCCCCGCTAACGCCATCACCTCATAATACCCACCATCACCACCATTACCAACGACCTTACCAACTCTCAACTCATCCACATCCACAGGTACAGTATCCAACAAGAATGACCAAGACGGGATATTATTCCCCTCCTCCGATGGAAGATAAATAGAAGAATGCTGTTTCTCTTGCCGGTGGTCTGTGTTCATAGCAGAAGAAGAAGCATTGGTCTTAGTGTGGCTGGTATACACGGACCCACACTCCTCAATGCAGTATATGTATACCCCACCCCTACCTACTTCCTTGGGGGAAGGGTCCGGTTCGTAGATAGCTAGGAGCTTATTGTCTGGGGAGACGGAGAGGAGAGGGGATTTCGAGGATGCGGTGGGGAGGTTGAGGGGGTTCCAGCGGGGGAATCCTGCTGTAGAGTTTGGAGTGGATGGAGGTGTTGTGTTTGACTCGGTAGCTGGATCTGAGGTCGTGGTGTGGTGGTGATGTTGGCGGGAAGGGAGGAGCCGGGTGATGGTTACTTGTTGAGAGGTGGGAGGGGAGGAGGAGATGGTGATGTGGCCAATGCAGTAGGCGGATGTGGGGCCTGATTGGAGGGATGCGGTGAAGTAAAGCGTTGATGTTGATTGTGATAGAGGGGTCTGGGGTACTGTTGTGGTCGGATTGTAAGAAGATGGGAGAAGGCGCAAGCCTCGGAAGACGACCTTTTCTTCGCCTGCGCCTAGAGTCACGGCCATGGAGGCGGAGTCGATGTGGATGTGGTGGATGTTTTCGCGCCAGTATTGGAGGGGAGTTTGAGCTTGAGATTGATGATGGTGTTGGAGGGCGGAGGGATTTCCCATGTAGCGGACGCGTTTCGGTTGGAAGGCTGTTGTGTCTTGGTGGATTGCGATGCGGAGGAGAGTGGCGTCGTCGGTGAAATCGAGGGAGTCGATGACTCCGTCGGTTTCTTCGTAGCCTGTGCTAGGGGAGGCTGCGTAGATGACGTCGTGCTGGTCCAGGGTGTATTCTGCTGGGGAGGAAATGCCGTTGTCTTCGTTCCCGGAGAGGCTGTAGATTTGGAGGGTCTTGCCTAGGCCGACGGCGAGGAGGTCGCCTTGGGAGGAGATGGCGATGCAGTGTTTTGCGTAGCGTGGGTTGAGAGCCATGCAATTTCCTGCGCCGCCTCCGTCCATTAGGGCTCGGTATACTGAGGTCCAGAGGGGGTAGAGTGTTGAGGCTTGGGAGTATTCCCAGGGAGAATGTTTGTTTGGACGGGTGAAGATGGTGGCGCGTGCGCCTTTCAGAGTGGCCATTTTTTGACCGTCTGGAGATGTTGCTAGTACTGTGGTAGGGGTGCAGTCTTCAGGTAGGGCACGTCTAGTGGAGGTTTTGTCGATGTGGGTCCGGTGGCCTAGTAAGTTCAGACAGGCGATTTGGCAGAAGTATGCATTCCATTCCTCGTTTGTGAGAGAATCGGCACGTGGGGGGATTGGCACGGGGAGTTCGGTGAGTGCGTTCCGAATTGTAGATGACATTGTCGCTGCTTTCCGCCATGAGCAGCATGCTGAGCGGGCAGCGACGTATGTCTCGATATCGACATGATCGAGGATGCAGAGGATGAGCTCGGTGGGGAGGTTCGCAGGCATGACTGAGTTGATTGCAGACATTGTGTATAGCTAACTCACATGTCTATCAGATGCTGGATGTCTGAAGATAGGAGACTGTGTAGCATGGCTAGGAAGCTAGTGGGAGGCCAGTTTTATACGGAAGAATGAGCGGCAATAAGTCAAGCTCCTGGCAGACCAGGCCCAGGGCCGGTCATACCGAATGGCGTGGATCGACATTCAGGGCTGTGATGGCAACCAGCCTGCTCTTGTGTAACGTCAACAGATGTCAGTCGACGAGAGAAGCAATTACTGGTGCAAACTAGCGCGTCATGTTGGTGGATGTGCTGGTGGTGTATACCGTATGTGTCAAGAGATGGCATGCGAGAAAGCCAATTATCGGCTCGGCAATAGCCCCATAGGTTGAGACGGGCCGAGCGGAGCCAGGAAACCGAGATGGAATGCTGAACATTCCTTGCTCTCGAACAACCTTAAGGGCCGGCAATGACGGAGAGTAGCCCTGGATGCATCGCATCAGTGGCGTGATGTGATGCCGGTCTTCCATCGGATGATTCTCGGCGGTGGTCCTACCGCAAAAAAGGTACCGGTTGCACCAAATGAATATCCTGATTGATCTGCAGACTCTCTCTTTTTCCAACTTCCCTGCAACCCGCGGATAACTGGAGTTGACACCTGTGTCACATTCATCTAATCTTTCCGCTTAATTCTCGTATACCTAGAGAAAGCCCTTTCTGTAGGGCCGGTGACAAATAATGTACAATATAGTAGTGAAATGCGCCGAGCGGAATGACCTAAAATCCCCAAAGCTTTAAGTGGAGAAAGAGGAATCTTCTACCGCGCAGTACAAGGTACTCGACACGGTGGGCATCAACTGCCTACTGGCACCAGCATTGTAAAAGGCGTCATCAACATCATTACTTAGGCTCCGGATCAGGCCTTGTGCTCATGACACCGGAAAATTCTCGGTCGGCGTCAGAAGCCTGTCATACCATGCCGGAAATGTGATGTACGGGAACAGCCTGTTATCATCTGGAAGCCTGACAGCTGGTGTGGAGCCACCCATCCTTGCTAAAAGAAATAAGGCCGGAGGCAAATTTGGACCTAACGCAACCCAAAATAGACCTTCTGGTGAACCGCCAGCTCACAGCAAAATGTTCTTCTCTCGTTTATACAGATCCTTGAGGAGCTTGAGTTGGTTAACGCTCATGCTCTGCCGGGGCAGGCTTTCGGGCAATTCGACTATAGCCTTCCTCATCAACGCCAGTCCGATATGCCCGAAGAAACCAACAATTCTTTCGGCTGACGATTTTAGCATAGCCGAAAGCAGGGTAACATGGGTATCCTGGATCTCTGCCGGCGGGATATTCAGGATTTTATGCATGGTATACCAAAACATGGTGTTGGGGAAAGGGTTCTTGCGCGCGGTTTTGCCAAAATTGCGCAGGGTCAAGGCCGCATAACCCGCACCTAGAGCTGTCATTCGGTCGGCGTGGGCCTGTTCGCTGATGTACGGCCCGTCCGGCCCTTCGCGCCACCAACCCAGGGCACGTCGGCCACCCTCGGTCTTCTCACTGCCATGGAATCCCCACAGCGCTGGGCAAACGACACGGTACTTGGCTAATAGAATGTCGACCATGTGGCAGCCCTTGTAGATGAAGGCATCGGCGGAGAATATCTGGGCCGCGACGATCCCGACCGGCTCCGCATGGCCCAGGTTGATGGACGCCTCCGTTATGAGGGAAGAAATCATGCACTTGGAGAAGATGTTCAAGGCGTAGATTAAAAGGGCAGGCACCTTGTTGTCATCGGAATTGGCAATATTCTCGGGCGGGAAAGCGATGAACTGGCGAACATCCACCGACGGTTCAGCAATGGAGGCAGCTTTCTCCAGCGTAGTACGAATCTCTTGAAGCTGTATGGAAGTCAGCAAGGTTAGCTAGCTGGCTTCTTCTATCCGTCGGAAGCAAAGCAAGACACTTACCTGGGTTTTGTTGGCTCCCTTGCCTTCACGTAGTTGTCCAACACACTTCTTGATCGTTCGCCGCATATCGCCCATGTTCTGCTTGACAATGGCATTGGTTTTCGCTTCGTTCTTCAAGTATTGCCGGAATTTCTTAAGATGTTGATGTAATTCCACGTAGCGGGCCTGGATCTTGATTTCTTCGTCCGTAAGACGGGCGCCTCCAACCTGCCGCTGTCGCTCCGCCTGTGCCTTCTGTGCGGCTTCCGCTTGGCGTTGGGAGGCCTCCTGCTCTGCCTTCCGTGTCTCCTCCTGACGCTTGCGGTTCTCTTCCTCTAATCGCTCTCGTTCTTTCCGCGCCTCCTCTTCCTGCGCCGCTTTCTTCTTCCTCTCCGCCTCTTCCTCCGCCTTCTTCTTTGCTTCCTCGGCTGCTCTGCGCTCAGCTTCACGCCATGCAGCCTCCTCCTGCTCTCGCCGTAGTTTCTCTGCCTTCTCTCGTTCTATGCGTTCCGCTTCTTTCCGTGCCTCCTCCTCTCTTCGACGGAGCTCCTCCTCTACCGCTCTCTGGTGTGCGCGCAACGTCTCCTCGGCCTCCACCAGTACGCGATCATGCAGAGCGGCAGCTTTGTCAAGGGCCGCATTGTGCTGGGCCTCAAGTTCGCTATCGATTCGGTCAAGATTCTCATAAAAGGATCGGCGTTCGTAGGCTTTGACCTTCTTCAACTCGGTGTTGTGCACGCGGAGCTGTTCAAGGTCCCGTGCTAAATCTAGGACGAGTTGCCTGGAGGGGCTATCCATCTGGGAGGGGTAGCTCATGTGTCCCATCGTGATTGTTCGGGAAAGGAGATTCGTTGAGAGAATGATGATATCGTCGCAGCTAAAAGAGTGACGTATTCGGGCTGAAAAGATGACAGTCTTTGCCGCCGAGGTTGGCCAATTCTTCAGAAGCAAGTTAACACTTCCAACTGACCAGAATTCGCATTGAACAAGTCGGAGTGATGCGACAGATATTTGCCAATGTAAGCCGGCGAGTTGACTTCACAATGTGTTGGGAGTCGCAGTGGATGTAACCATATCCTATTTCGCATACGATTGAGAGCCAGTAACGTGGGTGTAGCTGGCGACAAGCTAATGTCGCATTCCGTCGCAGGGGAAAAAAGGTAAACCGAACGTGAGTCACGTAGAATGATCGTTGTCTGTGCTGGCTCTGCAGGGTCGCAAAAAGGCTAGTTCAGCAATTCCGCGCTTCACACGCAAGGGAAATAGTTGCATGGGAATTCCGGACTCACCAACAATCGAAGAGAAGTAGGATAAAGGCGGCAATATAAGCCCGCAGACTCCGAGAAGCACTAACTGGATAGAAAAGACCTTAGGGAGTGTGATCAGACAGAAAAGGCAACTGTCGGAGGCGGCAGCGAGGGATTGGACTAAGAGGAGCCTATCTGGAGACGATGGCTGGTATGCGATCTTCAAAACGGAGCCCGAACGTGTGTTGCGGGAAGAACACGGCCGCCGGGGCTTAGTCATTCAGATAGCTGTAGCTACAGTTGTGGCCTGCAAAACTAGGCATCATAGTGCCGAACCCCCCAATGGGCCGGAGAGAAGCAGCGCTTACACAAGTACCACATTTACGGTACAACGGGGCAGCTACTGCACCAAACCGACCAGCTAAACATGGATCGCTCGGTCACCCGTTCCTCGGTCGGAGGGGAAGCCTGGAGGCCGGTCAGCCCTCTTTTTTTGCATCATCATCATCATCGTCATCATTTTCATGATCACCCAACACTCATTGCCTACAGGACAGGCTTGAACAAGAGTATCTGAGACATCGCTTAACTCTTTTTTCTCATTTTGCATTCACTGACCGACATGTCAGTTCACCTTAAACTTGGCTCTCAACACCTCCGTATTAATCTGTCTCTCACACCCCAATAGCATTTCACCCACCTCGGCCAACCCTTTGATACACGGTCTCGACAAGAGCCCCGCCAAAAGCCGGCCGTGGATCCAATAGCGGGCCACTATTGGACCGGTCGCATCATCAAGGAGGGTATCGATACCATTTGCATACGTATCGTACCCTGCACCAACAGAGCCACTCTGTATCTATCTACTACTGCTATCTCCAGCACTGTACGGAGTAAAAACCAACTCTCTCAGGATTTATTGCCACCAGTGCCAGCTTCCTGCATATAGTAGATGTTGTGCACTTGCTTTCCCGATCGACTATGGACTTTTTGGAGCCACGACATACTTAGAATAGCATGCAGGTCGCCATCGAACGCCAATAGGCAGGCCAGGTGGGTATCGCATAGCAGAAAGTTTCCATACAGCGATCATACACTAAGATAGTAAGTTGGTAAGTACTCCAGTTACTTAGTCGAGAAGCTCCACGGCGTCTTACCGCCTTCTACCTTTCTCCGGAGTTGATCTTCCAGCCAGCCGTTGACCACGCAGTTCGTCATTGACAATGCCGAAAGATTGAGGGGTGATCTTCATTAAGGTAAAGACCTCAGGACATATTCAGGTCAGTTGCTTCTTCCGTACGTCTGGAGACCAAGCGTCGGATTGATAAATGCGAAACAAAGCCTATTGAAAAGGTCTTGCAGTCGGACTGACAGGCTTGGGGAGCCAAGCTGCAATGAAATTCCCCCGAGCCAGACCCTGTTGGTCTCCAAGTATGGTAACTTTGGTTTAGTGACAAGTTTAATGCACCATTCCCTCGGATTGCTTTTTGCCTTGAAGCTCCCCTGGGGCGGAAAGTGTGTCATTCATAGGCGATGTTGAATGATCAAGTCAGATTTGGGTATTACCATGTACTTGTAGGCGATGCAATAGCAGGGAGGATACCTTTCCAAGCGGCATTCATTCTAGTCGGTCTGGAAATTTTGTGCGGTTTTTTCCCTGATGTTCTTCTGCTTCTCTCCCCACATCTCTAGTTAGTAGTTTACTACTACTAGGTAGGTTGCTGCTATATTATTGTTGTACTTGGCTTCGTATTGGCTGAATGTCCATTTTGCTTTGGGCCTATTAATTGTGAGTATTATATTAAGTATTGTTTTTTATTTTACTTTTCTGGGACTGAGTAAGTATTATTACCTGCTACAAGCTACTGAGTTACTACTGGATGCTTGCTGCACTGCTGCTGCTGCTCACCACTCTCACTGCTGCTGCTGCTGCTACTAATAGTAGACTAACTCAACTTCTGTCTCTTGTCTCTCTCTCTCCCCTCCACTTCCTCTTCCTCTTTACCTTCACCTCATCCTCTTTCTTCTCTCTTCCTTCCCCTCCCCTCTTCCCTTATCTCTTCTTCTTTCTTCACCATCCCTCTCCTTTGGAATTAATCTTTCTCTCCCCCCTCCCTCTTTCCTCTCGTCGCTCCTGATCATTCCTTCAGGTCGACGATCACGCCTCCTTGTCTCAATCACTTGGCTTATCTGTCATTCTCTCTCTGTCAGATATCGCTTTGCCTGGTGTGTCCTTTTTGGAACTACCACGTCCAAGAGAATCGTATCAGTAATTCTCTGGTGGGAGAAACTATTATTGTGTTCTCCTTTCCATTTTTTTCAGAATTAAGCGCCAACTCAATAAGCCTTTTTTTTACAATTCAGGACTGAGTTGCCCCCCCTTTTCTGCTACTGAGGAGACTCCGTTCTCTTCCGTACCATCAAAATCCCACTTTGGCCAAAAAAAGCCCACCCCATCGTTGGAAAATTTGCAAATAAAGTCGAACCAAAAAAATTATTCTGTCTATACCTGTCGAGAAATTCTACTCAGAAAAAAAATTGCAGAAGGGAATCGAAAAAAGGTCCCTCCTTTTGACTTGAAGCTTGGGGATTTCTCCGCTGGTGGTCGCTTGACGAATGGCAGTTGGGGACGACCGACAGCTCCCATCCGCTTAGTACTCGGTGCTTGCCCCCCCCCTCCCTCTTCCCTCCTAAACCTCAGCTTCCCCCCCGATTCGTCGAGCTTCATCCTCTCTTTCGGTCTCTGCTGTCTCACGGAGACTGTCGCCAGTTCCTCCCTCCGGTGTCCATTCATCGCAATTTTGCTTTCTGTTTGAATATATTGCTTTGGCTTCCTTGACTTTGGGGTCCCTCATCCCCATTCCTGTGAGACTACCTTCGGTCACCGCTGTCTTTCGCCATATAAACGGGGATTTTCCCTCTCCCGTGCCAAAGAAGAAGTCCGACAAAGATTATCTTCAGATCCCTTCCTGAGCTGGACGATCGTTTATTTTTGAAGAAAAGAGGTAAGAACAATTGAAGATACACACCTTCCCATCCTCAATCTTCGTGGGTCTCCTGATCCTGGTACTCTCCCTATTGCCTCCCCGCCATTTGCCTCGCGTCCTTCCATTTTGTACCTTGGTTGATGTCACTTGTTGTATGGGGTAAATCGCAGCTTCCCTTGCCCACAACATTCCCCTCCCGCTCTTCTTCCCGTAGCCACCCCCACGATGTCTTGAACCCCCCTCTTCTCTTCTCCTCTTGTTCTCGACCCCTCGCTGCTTACTTTTTGTCCGTTTCACCCTTACTGACCTATCGTTCTCCTTCAGTATACTGCAAGTTCACCTCTCGTTGTTTCAGACTGCCTCCGATCGGCCTCCCTAAATCGCAACCCACGACGAGTGTGACTTCCGTCATTTCCAACATTCTCTACTCACCCCCGAAGCGGACCTTTTTGATCCCATACACTTGCCCGTATACCTAATCCCCGTCGATCTTACGTCTGAAAAGATGGATCAGCAGGGTCAATCCGGGGTTCCCGGCCCCGCGGGGCGCAAGCTCCATATCGCCCACAGAAGAAGTCCGTCTGAATTGACCCCTCTCATGAGTAAGTGAATGCCAGCCCCATACTCGTGTAACATAGTTTTTTGTGAATGAAGTACTGACGATGGTGGATACAGTGGAGCAACTCGCTATTCAGCAACAGATTGAGCTTCTTCAACAGCAACAGCAGCAAATTGCAGCTACACATCAACAGTACGTCAATATGGGTCTGTTACAACCGCAACAGCTAGGCCAGGTTTCTGCATTCTCGCCTTCTCTTCAGGGTGGCGCTTCCATGGGAGGCGTCTCCCCTCAGTTGAATGCATTCCAATTCCCACAACTCGCTCAGCAGCAGCTTGGCGTGCCGATGAACACCTCAACCCAACACTCGCACCGGCGCAATCAGTCTGCCCTGCCCGGTCTCGGCATGGGTCCCCCTCCCGCCCCGTCCTCAGGAGCTTCGGGCTATACCGACTACAGCCAGCAGCAACAGGGTCACCAACCCAAGAATGAGAACGGAGGTCATGGGCGCGGACGAGGTGGTCCTCCCGGTGGTGGCCACCAGCGCCGTCACTCGCTTGCGCTTCCTGAAGCCAAAAAGGCCGCTGAATTGGCCCAGCAGAAGCGGACGGCCTCCGGCTTCCAGTTCCCCGCACCCAGCACCCCTGGCGACTCTGATACCACTCCGGGCGCTGACGATAAATCCACCCCCACCTCGCAGACCCCACAAGGCTTGGGCCTTCACCGAGCCGGTAACATTCGGGCGGGTGGTCATGGTCGCAGTCAATCCATGGCTGTTGGTGGAAACCGTGGTTCTTTGTCTGGTCGCGGTGCTGGCGGCTTCCAATTCCCTCAAGCTAGCGACGGCGAGAATCAACGTCGTGGCAGCCAGCCCGGTCACGCACGGTCTTCGTCCAGAAACTTTGATGGTAACTGGCGGCAGCCCAACAATCAAGCTCAGGGCCAGGACCAGCCCAAGAGCTTCGGCCAACAGAGCGGGGGTTTCCAGCCTGGCCACCGTGCCCGTGCTTCAATGAACCAGTCCATTGGCTCCATTGGATCTTTCCAGTACCCGCAACAGCCCCAGCTCATTCAGTTGCCCCAGGGTCAGGTGGTCATGGCCCCACCACAGATGTTCGGCGGTGGTCAGCAACTTAACCCTCTGCAGCTTGCGCAGCTTCAGGCCCTGCAGCAGAATGGACAGCTGAACGGCCAAGGTCTTGGTCTT